AAAGCAGAAGAGTGAATACATATATCAGAAGAACAGAAAGGGAAAATAACCATCGAGTGACGATAAGAATATGTATATTGAAACATGGCAACTATTGATATGAGATTAGGTTACCTACTTCCTAACATTGTCTTGGTGTTCTTGTTTCGCAAGATCTTAGGTGGAATGATCATGCCAAGGACATTGCTCTTACTTGTCGGAGCACGCTTGGAGCGTTGAATCGTGTCTTTGGATTAACTGCAACTGAAGTTCGGCGTCGAATCTATCTTTCTTCTGTTCTTCCTAAAATTGACTATTGCTGTGCCTTGTATGATAGTTCGTTTTCTCTTACTGTTCTTGATTCTGTAAACAAACTTGTTTCTCATATTATTTCTCGCAATTTTGATTATCGTTCTTCTAGTTCCCTACTTGTATCTCAACTTTCTCTTCCTAAACTCTCTTTCTCTTCGTCGTAAATACTTTAGACTTCTACAGTTTTTCAAAATTTATCATCGTCTAAGTCCTGTTTCTCTTTTTTATACTATTCATCGTCCTCACTACTCATCTTTACGTCTTCATCACTCTGAATATGTTCGCATTCCATCTTCTGCTGATGATTTTTCTCCGCAAACGATGCATGCTTCTTTTTTTTATTCAACTATTGTTGATTGGAATAATCTCCCAGCGTCAGTTATTTGTCTTTCTTCTTTAACGTCTTTCAAAACAGCTTTACTTCAGTATCTCTTCCAGTGAAACATGTCAGTTATGAATTTATATTTGTTCTTTTTTTCTTATTTTCTTTTAAAAAAAAAACATTTTTACTTTCTGTTTTTTCCTTTTTACTACTTCTGGTCCTAACGTTAGTTGTCTTGTTTATTCTGTTATTTTTTTACTCTTTTGATGTTGCTTGGCTTGAGTCATTGTTATTACAGGTCGATGACCTTTGATGACTCATACTTTTCGTGAATAAAACAGTCTTAGTCTTAGTCAAAATTTGTCTGCTTTAGGAAAAATTCGTTCAAAATGCTACCTTTCTTAGCTGATCGAAAACTATTTCGTCATTGTCAGTTAGGGCTAGGGGTGCTACAGTTTCAGCTCAGTTCCTTTGAACGGGAACTGCTTACCAGTTCACTCTAAATACGTTCGTCTTCCACCTTCTGTTGATGGTTTTTCTCCACAAACGGTGCATTCTTCATTTTTTTATTCAACTATTACTGATTGGAATAATCTTGCAGAGTCAGTTATTTGTCTTTCTTCTTTTATGTCTTTCAAAACAGCCTTACTTCAGTATCTCTTCCAGTGAAACGCTTGTCAGTTAAGCATTTATGCTTGTTCTTTTTTGTCTTTTGTTTTATTTTTAAAAATTTTTGTGTTTTATTTACTACTTCTGGTTCTAATCTTAGTTGTCTTCTCTATTTTGTTATTTTTTTTATTACTATTTTGGTGTTGTTTGGCTTTAGTCATTGTTACTACAGGTCGGTGACCTTTGATGACTCTCACTTTTCGTGAATAAACAATCTTAGTCTTAGTTCTTTTTAAGGTCCGATCCTTAGTCAGGGCAAGCAGGGAATGGTTTGAACTGTTTAGCATTGATCTGATGGTTTTCCACCAGAGATGCTCCTGCGTATAGCTGTTATTTTCTCAACGGCTGAGCTGTCACACATACTGTAATGTGTTTAACATATAAGTATGTGTAGCAGGCCAATATAGTAGTGAATACTTTTTTGTATATTTTTCATTTGGTATCATAATAACCAATCAGTGATTGATCATATGCTTAAGTTACGTAAAAATCGTCTATATGTATATAAAATTACTGATTAATATTGGTCTACTACTCACTTTTGTGACTGCATATTATTACACACGAAAGTGTGTGGCTTTCAGTAACAAAAGTTCATTCACGATTTACAGTTGAGCTAATCAATCAACAATGCTAATGAGCGATGGTTGTATGTGTATTGACCAATAAGAGATGGAATGCCAGCCTTCCCGTCGACGAACATTTCATCGTATGATAACTGCATTAATACATTAACAGCATACTATTTGTTCTTTTATTCTCCATTTTCTTGCAGGTACGATGAATCGTTCCAATTACTGACGCATTGTTTGATAACTTCTTGTTATTTTTATTTTGTTTATTGTATGTACCGTTCTTATATTCAGTGGAACCAAACTTCCAGTGTTTGGCAGAACTATGTACGATTCATTACATTTGCGTTTTGTATTAAAGAAATCTTTCGAAACTTTCAGTAGCATAGACATTTTCATTATGATCATCATACCATCAAAACGTGCTATGACTAATTAATTCAATGTCAGCTTGTTAGCGTTTGAATTCATACATCTCAGACAATTTCCGTTGCTATCAATTTAAAGCGACAGTTACACACTACATAATAGAGAAGAAACGGCACTTGTATATTTTAGTCCTACAATTTACTGATGCAACGCAACATGAGAGCGAGTAGGGGTGTGATTAAACTGCACAAGTACCAAAATACTTTTTGAGACTAGAACAATAGTACAACAATATCCGAGTAGAATCTTATAGACCTCCAGTTAGATCGGTCGACAACGCTATATTAAGATCAAATTGATTTACTTGGCGCTTCGAACTATTGAATAAAACAATTACTATTTAACTACATGGATTATTTTATTGTATTATTCAGTCGTCTTCTCCAAAGAAGAGATTGTTTTATTGTCATTTATAGATAGCTGAAGAATGAAGAAATCATCTATGATGCACAAACTGATTCTCCGTCTTAGATTCTTTGTCCACTGTGGACAATTCAGGCGTGGTGCGTCGTTATTCAAGTTGGCTAGGTCTACGATTTGTGAAAAATGATGGATTAGCAAACAATTTCTCTGTTTGATCCTCATTTTATCCACTTAAGTCGATTCGTTGTTGTTCTACGTCGCATGAGGGTTTTTTGAAAAGTTGATTCTTGCCTCCATTCATACACATCCTCTACATATTCAGAATTATCTATTAAAAATTTGTGTTTATATCGACTACACGATTATCCAAATTTTGTCTTACTGAGGTACATGTGAACCGAACATTACCTCTTCAATCATCAATATCAACAGTGTTATTAAAACATTAAAACACTTTAAATATCGTTTGTTGCTCAATTTGTATGTTTAGACTATATGAAAAATCCATTAGAATCGAAATTAGATCTTAACATACTTTCAAATAATTTCATTCATTTCCTCTCAGACATACAGTTTATTGATCCAATTTTTATAGAAGTCATCAGAGAACATCCAACATTCATAGCGTTGATATATCTTTTCTTGATTTGGATGATCAGAGACGATTCTAAATAAATTGAATATTCTCTGCTGCTATTTGAAAATGAGTTGCATTGGCATGAAGTTTTTTCCGATGTTTGGCTCCGATTTTAATTTGATCCTCATCTTTTATGATCTCCGTGTCTATCCTATTTTCTTTTGTTCGGTTTTGTCATTAATTAATAATTTTGACAACTTGTTTGCGTTCTATTTACCAATGATTATCAGATAGCTTACAGCTAACATAATAATAGACTTTTTACAACTTTTCTCGTCTTCCTGATACAATACTAATCACAGAAAATGCGGTGTTCGGAAAAGAAAAGCCGACAATAACAACTTTTAAACAAACGATATGCCCATGTCTTCTATCTCTAGTTAAAGTCTCTTAATCGATATAAAGAAATTTTAGATTTTCTCATTCTGATTTCAGTCACTTTCACATCAGCTAATATTTTCGTCAATAATAATAGAAATATTTTTTGTACGTGTTGTCCAGCCGTTTCCTACCTGATTTTCTCCAAAACAATTTATTTTACTAATGCTTGAGCGTTCAATTTTTCATTTTAGATTTGAAATTTACAATTTTTTTTTCTTTTGCCTATGATATTACAACTTCAAATTGGGAGAGGAGCATAAATAATGTCTAAAGGAAAGAGTGGCAGATCAAAAAATGATGGCGATCGTCGCTCACGTGGAGGTGGTGGAGGTGCTGCGTACATGAAACAGGTAAATTAACAGAGAAAGGAAATGTTTGCCTAGATATTGCTACAATAGAATAATTAACTTATTTTCATATTCCAACATGATTGAGTTCAAACTATCGGTTATTAATAAAAGCTTATTTCCATTTGAGCTCTCATTGGAAGGTGTCTGATTTATTCATTTTAACCAACAAAATTTTTATTTTTTTTGCCTTTTTAACTTTTAGATGGGTTTCACCATGCCAAATATGGATCTAAATACGAATGACGATGATTTGCCAGATGATAATGATGATGATCTGGAAGCTGAATTGCGGCAGATCATGGGTGAGGGACAAACAACAAAACGTGCACGAGGAGGAGCCGGACCCAAACAACGTAAGTCAATTGAGAACAATTTTTATAAATATTAATTTAATTTATTTCGATGGTTTAGCGCAAGATTTGAATGCATTCCATATGGATGTGAGCAAATTATTAGCTAATATTGATAAACCAATTAATGATGAGGATTTGTCCGATGATGATGATCCAGATGTGTTGGTAAGATGTTAGGAGTTTTTTTTTTATGATAAATGATCGACATTAGAGTAGTACATCGTTGAAATTAGTGAATGATTTATCGTAGAACACCGGCACAGAAATTATTATTGGTTAGAAATCTGTCGTTATGCTAACGTGTCTTCACCGACGACGATCTATAACGTAAAAATAACCCTTAAACGAAGGAATTTCTTTAAATTTTAGGCTGAACTAAATGAAATCGCTGGTGAATTAGCTGATGTCGAAGACAGAAACAATCTACAGCAACAACAACAACAACAACATAAACCATCAACAGGAAATATATTATCATTGTTAGAAGAACGAAAGCAAATGTATGAAAAAGCTGTTACAAATGCCAAAAATAATAATGATGCAACGCGATCAAGAAGATTTGAAAGACAATTGAAAGTAAATAAATAATTATTAGTATTAATTAGATTAGCTGACGATAATTCTTATATTTAATTGTTTTCTAGACAATTCAAGAACTATTGCAATCAGCAAGAACTGGAGCTCCGATCAACGAAAACGACATTCCCCCTGAAGTAATCATCTCACCACCAACATCTTCTATGCCATCAACTCCTAAGACTGAATCGTCTGTGAATAATGTCACTCTGCGGACTCCTCAGCCTCCTCAATTGCAAGAAAATGAAAGACGGCAACTACCACCACCGCGACAACAACAACCGGTCATCACCGCTAATGTTCCAGTTCGTGTCGATGTACAACAACCTCATGCACATTCATCTCATTCATCTTCAGTAACAAGTAATAAAGAGACTAAAAGTTCATACTTTACTATTGTCATAAACGTTGTTTTTCTTTCTTAGATGTTAGTTCAACAAACAACAATGCTATAGAACGTTTAAAAGAATTAGCAATCCAAGCAAAACGTGCTGGTGATGTCGAAAAAGCAAAGCAGTATCTAAGAGAAATGAAAGTACGTACTAAATAATTGACCTATTTGTTATTTATTTGCAACGGAATGATGTTTCTTTTCGAATAAATAATAATTCTTTAATCATCTCATAAACTATTTCATTTTTTCTCTTGTTCCAGTCGCTACAAGGTGAGACTGCTCAGCCACCCAAGAGAACAAGTATCTCTGTACCATCACCACCACCACAACAACAACAACAACAACAACAACAAACAAACGAAAATGAGAATGAAGGAGAAGCAATGGAAGTGCCCTGTAAGCTACATTTTGCTTTTAGTATTTTAACAACAACGTGATAAATCTGTTTAAATTTTCAGTAAAAGCACCAGAACCTAAAACGGTCCTAGAAGCATTACAACAACGACACGGTGAACTAAATAAACGAGGTGAAGAAGCAGCAACTAATGGCGATCGTGCGAAAGCAAGAAGAATGGAACGTTTATCAAAGGTACAACTAGCTTTAGTGGTAACAGCTGTTGAATTAGTGACGCACTTTTGACTGAACGTTATCTAGAATTAGACAAAAGTGTTTAAAAATTTCTTCTACTTATTTGGAAATAGTAAAAGTATCTCTGTAGTTTCGGGCATATGAGCAAACAATACGTTTTTGTACGCATCCAGATGTTAATTTTGTCGTAATCTGTATATTACTGCTTAACAAATGCGGAGTCATCTGAGCTATCGTAATCTAATTACTTTTAACCTTGTTGTTCTCTTTTTTAGCAATATGAAGAAGCGATCGAGGCAACAAAACGTGGGAAACCATATGATTATAACGAACTGGCTGATTTACCCGGTTTTGCGCCTATTCCAGTAAACGCAGCAGGTACCCACCACCCATCTTCTGCGGCTCCTCCCGCAGCATCAACATTGCCATTGCGAAAACCTAATCCAGCGGGTGCATCAAGTCATCCACCACCTGCTTCAGTCGCTCCACATGCAGCTCAAGGTCGCCCTACAGTTAATCCAGCAGGTAAAAAAAGACTTTTCATGAAAGAAGACATTTCTTGTAAATGTGTTTTATTTTATTAGCAGCTCGACCGCCGAATGCAAAAAGTATGGATGAATTGCTTAACTTTTCATTAATATCATCTAACCTGCATTGTTTGTTTAGCCGCACGACAGTCTCAACATAATAATATAGCACAAACATTAAGAGCAAAACAAGAACATTTTCAAAAATTAGCACTTGAAGCAAAACGCCAAGGTGATATAGAATCAGCCAAAAACTTTTTAAAATCCTATAAAGGTTTAGAACAAATGGTGGCAGCAGCTGAATCGGGTTTACCAGTTGATTTGACTCAGGTGTGTTGATTATCTAAATCGTTTACTATTAGTCGAATGTAGATGAAAAGAATTGTAAACTCCATATTCTCAATCTAAGATTGACAATTAGTGTGTTTATAATTGATTACGAAGAAAACAATATATAACTTTATCCTGTGACATTTTTAATCATATCATTTGTCCTTTTATATTTAAGCAGTTGTATTATCTCTGTATTATCTTAGGTTCCAAAATTACCGGATGATAATGATTATGAAATGCTGGATGATGACGAAGAGTTATTGCATAGTGATCGTGATACAATTTACCGTCGTTTACAAGAAGATCTATTGCATCAAATTCAATTATGTGCGCGAAATCAACAAGTTTACTCTCAGATGGATAATCATGAGCAATCTATAGAATATAAACAATTAGAACAACGTTGTCAACAGGATTTAGAACGTTTAAGAAAATGTTTTCAACATGGGTTAAAGGCACCATTATTTCATTATGAACGTCGACAAATGAATATTGTTCAAATTAATACTGATTTAGGCGAGAATGATCTTGAAGTAACTGTAATAAGAGGTATAAATTATCCTCTTCCGCAAGGTTATACGGATAAAACATTGGAAACATATGTCCATGTTGAATTTCCATATCCACCAGAAACATCACAACAAGGCAAAACAAAACGTGTTTATGGTGCACAAATTTCAGAATACCATGAGATATTAAGATTTTATATAAAACGAAATGATGCAAAATTTAAACGTTTAATGAATCGAAAAGAATTAAAATTAGTTGTCTATTATCGATCGGGATTTATGAAAATGACAGAGAAAGTATTGGGTACATCGTCTATTAAGTTACAACCGTTGGAAGATAACTGTACGATACATGAAAGTGTTGATTTATATGAACATGAACATAAAAAACGAATTGAAGGAAAAATTGAATGTAAAATAAGAATTCGAGAAGCTTTAGGACAAGCAAAAGCATCAGAAGTTTTACCACAACGTTGGCTGGTCATTGACAGATTTGAAGAAATTGTACGTACATATTCATAAGAGAAAGTGATTGAATATACAGGGGGTGCTCAAAATTATGGATCCATCTTTATTTTTAGTTTTTCTCCTCGGACATAATAGTTGATGGAACAAATACGTATAAAGATTCCAACAAAATTCTTTGTAATCCGGGTTCCTAGAAAATCAAGTCCATGAAATCTACGATACATATTTGCAAACAGTGGTATCGTGTAGAATAAACATTTTGGAGTAAAATGAGAAGTCTCCGAGCTCTCTTATATGAAACAGCAGCATTGAATCTACCATGGGTCTTGACGGCATATTTTTCGAGTTTTCCGTTGATTTTGATGATATGGGATCGTTCTTTAAATTGAATACTGTTTCATATAAGAGAGCTCGAAGACTTCTCATTTTGCTCCAAAATGTTTGTTCTACACGATACCACTGTTTGCAAATATGTATCGTAGATTTCGTGGACTTGATTTTCTTGGACTTTGATTTTTCAGGAACCCGAATTATAAAGAATTTTGTTGAAATCTTTATACGTATCGCATCAGATTGAAAACTTTTTTAACTATTCAAATCCTTCTTCAGATTTGTTCCATCAACTATTATGGCCGAGGAAAAAAACTAAAAAGAAAGATAGACCAATAATTTTGAACGCCATTGTAATAAAGGATATAATCTTTTGGTTCAACGTTTAAAGAATTTTCTTGTTGCTAACAATAGGAATATATATCCCTTTATAACATATAGAGAGGAGATGTTCAAGTAATAGTATGTGAAAGAAAATATATTGTTCAGCAAACTTTACTAATATTTTAAATTATTTTTATTAAAGTAATATGGCGCTTTTGTTTTGTTTAAAAAATAATTAGTTTTTATTTTTTATATTTTAGCCACCAAGCAAAATGCATTCTAAGTATGTATTTGTTTTAATATATTTTCATTGGGTTTTTGTTTTTCATAGTGACGCTTTCACTACAGTAGTTCAATATATTAAGCTTATATTATTCGCTTTGCTTTGCTTAAAATGTTAATCAACATAGACATTTGACAACGAGTCGTTGTTTTATCTCATTCTTTCATCGTTTTGTTTCTTCCATTTTGTCGTACTATGTTCACTTTTCCCTTCGAATTGCATGTGTTAAAAACTTATTTTTAGTGAAATAAAATCTCCAACGAATAACAGACGTACGATGTCACACATTTGTATATGTTCATAGTGGTGTTCATAGTGGTGCTGATTAGAAACATAATTGTCAATATATACATTATCTTAGAAACATTTGCTTTTTGGATATATATATTGACCACTTTTTGTTATTATTTTATTGTTTATTGAAACCTACGTTATTTTTTTCAGTTTTAATACTAAAATATTTTATTTTTATATTTGATGTTAATGCTCAATGTTCTATATTGTAATCGACTATTTTCATGTTTGTTTGTTTATTTTATTTTTTTGTCTTCTAAACACAGTTTTTCTAAAAACTAAATTTAAATGATTATTATTTGCGATTGATAACCGGTAATTTCTGTTTAATTCTTGACAGATACTCGGTGCTTTATTTATTTATTTTTTTTTTATTTCATATATGATTTTTCTTTTTGTTGTGAAAACGTTCACGTTACTTTTCTAAATTACTATTCTTGGTTGTTTCTTTTGTTTTTGTACATTGACTCGATTAATGCTTATTTGTAAAATTCATACGAGCTTTTCCCCTTTCTATTAACAATATATAAATCCTATAGGAGATGATGACTTTTCTGCATGTGACATATCTAGAATACCATTCGTACATTTTGTGCAATCAAATTTTTTTCTTTGTCACATGTTCAATTATTATTCATCATCTATCTTTAGACGATGACATATTCAAATAGTTCTTATTTCTTTTATTTTGCTTTTTTTTTCTTTTTTTTCTACAAACAAATTACAATAATATTGCTTAAGCTAATTAATGCACAGATATTCATCATCATTTTGTAGGTCAGCAGGACCTATAACAACGCTTGCGAAATTAGTACCAACAGCCGAGGCATATGGGACATTAGCGTTAGCTTTAGGTGAAGAGCATAATAATAATGATGACAGGTACGAAAATAATTTAAAATAGCTGCATGCACGCATGTTTAATGGATGCTATTGAATATTTCCTTTAGTGGAAGAAAAAATCTCTATGTTCGTCAAAAGTATGCTTGATTAGGTGGATATTGATTGATTAAGTCCATTAGATTATCCCTTATTTTTAACAATTTTTATAAAAGTGATTTTATATGTTTTATTCCCTATTGCTTATCCTATCATACGCATATCTGTGTTTTTGGAATAATTATTTTAGATATAGCATTTTTACAATTGCTATATTATTTTCCGTAAACACAGAATAATTTTATTTATTGTATAGCAAACAACACGTGTGTATATGTATTTAAACTGTTATGCTTGTTATGATCGTTTAGTTAAAATATTATTTTAATTTTGCACAATAATTTTGTTTTGATAGTTTATTTAATGGAATGAGTTAATTTGAGTAACGATTATTTTACTAGAAAAATAACAGTATGTAATATAATTATATTCGTCTTTTCTTCTTTTTCTTCTGTAAAGTCCATCGCATTCGAATCGTACAAGTTATCAATCAACCAAACCACAACAACAACAACCACCAACGATACGAAGTGTACAAGTTTTAAATTTTGAATCGTCTCTTTTGGAAAAACAGGCAAGAAAATGAATGAAAATATTGTAACAGAATTATTTTAATTTTTGTTTCTTATATTTTTCTTTTAGATTGAACAATTACGTTCAACTGATCGTCTGTCACCAGAGCAGTTGAATGCTTTACGAATACAGTTAAAATCATTAAATGAACAAAGTGATGAAATTGTTAATACATTAAGAACGGGAGGACAACAGGCTGTGAAAGGTAATATTTTTAGTTTATACAATAGTACATTGACTTTTTCACTCTTAACATTTCAAAACAACAAGTAAAATATTATGTTCGTTATAATAGAAAAAAAAAACTTGTACGATAAATATTTAATATTTTGATTCTCCTTCATATGTCTGTTTCTATCAAATGATTTGTATTACGTAATAGATCACACGTGACTACATAAACATGTTAATCTTTTGTTATCATTTCTTTTTCCCATTCTGTTGATGCAAAAAAAGAAATAAAAAACAAAAGAGAAAAAGTGTGGGAAAGAATATAAAATATGATAAAAAGATTACGCTACATGTTGAGTATATGAATACATACTTCATCTGCTAAAATCAATTGCAGAAAATGTATCCGATGCATGACTCGAGCGAATACTACTTACGATATTTTGGTTTTCATGTTTTGTACTTATGAGAAACCGTTGAACGTATTCCACCGTTTTTTGCTCGAACCACTCATGATTCGACATAATTAGTCGTTCTAATCTCAGATCTGAAGATTATACTCGCTCGTATTCAGATTCTTGCTCAGAATTTGTGATAGATCCTTCCAAAACCTAAAAATTCAATGTTAAGCGAACGTGTTTTTGATAGCAGTAGATTATAGAAAACATTAGAATTACATCTGGACACTCAACTCAACTTGAAAGGTAATATATCTCTTCTCATGACCACTCATGCTAATCGATGAGCACAAAGGAACTATTTCAATGATTTTATCAACTTATTTAATAAAATTTGTTATATCATTAATACATTTCTAACCTTCTTCCCTCTCCCAGAATAGAAGACCAATAGTCTTCTGATGTGTCTCGCCTAGAGCACTATCGATACCAATACTTTAATGGTATCGGTGTCGAGCGTTCTCGGTATCAGTATCGTGGGATAGAAAGTCCGATATCAGCTTTCACTATCGGTTATCAAAAAGTAACAAAATGTTTTGTCTTACTATCGAGGTATCGACGTTTTTGGGAGCAGACGCTGTTGAATTGGTGTTGAGACAAATGATGAAGGGAGATACGGGTTAAAATTTTTCCGTATCGTTTTGAAACAACAAATACCCATCTGGATTCAGAACGAAGTCGCGTTTTTTTGTTTAATGGAATTCGAATTTCATTTTTTTTAAACTTTTTTTATCTCTCAGATCCCTATAAGGCAAAAATTAGAAATGTCCGGTTAGCGGCTCAATTTTTCTGTAATGTTCAACGAAATTAACAAACAAAACAAAAAATGACATGATATACATAATTTTGGATGCTCTATCGAAGAAACGTACTTTGCTAGAACCAGTTTAGTCTTTTTCTCGAAATCCGTTTGACAGTTTGATAGAGCGTCACATTCTCAACAAAATGAAATGGCATTAGAATCTGGTGTATGCTATTAGAGAAACCTGTGAATAATAGAAAATAATGTTTTTGCATTTTAAATTTCACTTTATACATTAGCCTCATTGAGTCTATTTTTTTCTCTATACTTCACTGATGATTCGAAGTTTTGATATTTCGATACCTTAGCGGTATCGTATTGAAGTATCGATTGATTCAGTATCGGAAGTCTCGAAATTTTTTTGTAAGTTATCGATGTATCGATAATCCCTTAGTCTTGCCAAATCATAATGTTCTATTGAAGTATAATTTTTTTCCGTCTGTCAGGAGAATTAACGCCCTTTTCCATAGCAGAACTGATATCTATTACTTATACTCTGTTTTTCTCGTTTATTTGATCACTTTTTCGCCACCCAGACGATTTAACACGTTCAAATAAAAATATTAATATAGAAAAAATGACTATATATATGTGTGTGATCATTCTTTTGCTTTGATTATAAGATCAAAAGTGTATCATTTTATTTCTCTCTTAACTGGCTTCTCCGTTTATACACCAAGACTTACTTAAAATTGTGATTGCTTAAAATTTATACAGGATCATGATCTTCTATTTGTCTTTCAACTCAGGAAACCGACAGTGGTCTTCTAATTAGAGATGATCTTCTATTATGGACGAAGGGATTAGTTTTAAAAGACCTTCAATAATTCTAGAGGACATGATCGGACATCCTATCTAATCTTTAATCGATCTTTTTTTATGCAAATCGTGCTTTATCTTTAAAAATATATATAATTAACATATTTATTTGTCTTTGTAGCTCATGTTCAAGGATTAACCGAATTGATTGAACATTATGATCAAGAAGCTTTGCATTATTCTAAACGTCATGATAATAAGAAAGCTGATTTATTTATGACAAAGAAAAATTTAGTTATTAAAGAGGTAGTATATAGAACATTTAAATTATTATCTTTTCTTTTTATAAAATGTCTTTTTTGATATTTAGATTAATACATTAACTCGACCACATCAAGATCGACCAAACCAAGATCGATTCTAGTTAAAACCCCTTATTATTTATAGTTTAAATAAACGTGTTTTCACAGAATCAGTTTATTTTATTTATTTCACTCGTGTTATTATAATTACTGCTGCTTATGTATTTATTGCTTTTTTTTAATGTATTATAAAAATGTATTTGTTGCTTGTCATTTACGGCCTTTTTTTTTGTTCTTTAATTTTGTTCAGTAAGTTGTGAGTTTTAAGTATGATTAAAGTGAAAAATCAATTTATTTTTTATTGATATTTATCTTAGACGTTCAACTAGAAGAGAAAAATATCACAGACTAGCATTACATTTAATATATACATATAGAACTGTTTATATAATTTCTATCCTAAATTAGACAGCCAATGTATAGAAGTGAATTAGTGTAAAAATAGTTATATAACTTTTTTTTTACTAAAAATTACTTTGGAGAAAATTGTGCAAAGAATTTAATAGTAGTATTAATATCATACTTTTTTTATTTTTAGACGTAGAACGTTTAGAATCGTGCAAATTATGGAGTCGCTAATTAATCAAATGGATAAATATTCGAGTCGAAATTTAATGTTATCATTTTCACAGTACACTACTTGTTTAACGGCTGGGTGTCTACCAAAAGACAGTCAGTTACGTGAACGTTTAATAAATCTTTATATGAGATTGGGTCTCTGTCGTACAATAAATCGTTCGTTAGATTTTTTAACGTGTCTTCATCGATGTAAACTATATGGTTTAGGAGACCAGGTACTAATTCTTCATAGAAAACAATACTATTTACGTTGTTTATCATTTGAACCTGTAGGATATTATAGGAAAAGAATTCAACGACTCGTCTGCTAACATTACTAACGAATATTAGCCAGTTAATTTATTATCCATCGGAATCAATTGCTTGGCTATGCGAAGCACAGGTATTCAAACGATCATCGCAATTATTTCGTGCAATATCCCTAAGCTGTTGGCTTATATCAATAATTATTTCAATTATTATGTAAGTTGATTTCAACTATCTAACTGTCCTGTCAAAATAACTAAATTAGTGAAAGAGTACGGATGAATTGTTCATCAAGAAAAAAAGAGTAGACTCGAGTGTTTTCTGAATAACTCAAGAGTAAAAATAGCTAGAAAGTTGTGTTTCTGCTAGTCGGGAGAAGTGGAAGCATCTTTTTAATGTTACAAAGAGAATTCAAGATTTACATAGATAGAAGACTTTTTAGGGAATCGTGCAAAAATCTGCGCATATGTCAAAAGTTTGAGATAGTAATATAATTACTTTTTTATATGAATAGTTAGCCGAATCTAGCGTGATAACAGATATGGTAAAAATATGTGGATATTTAAAAATTCTTAAAATCTCTTCAGAGGCGCTTGTTACGGTAATTTTTCTTCAAATAATTGATTTAATATAATGACTGATTTTATATTATTATGATATTTTTGTAGAATGACGGATTAAGAGTTTCGCCAATCGTCATATAGAAAATGAATCAAAACATTAGTACATGAGTTTTAGGAAAAGCCACTACACTTCTGAAAATAAAGCAAGTTAAGAATAACTTTAATATTTCATTCTAACACAATATATGTATATATCTATTCGTACCAATCTAGTATTTATGTGATCTTCACTGTATTCAGATTTGATACGTTATGATAAATTATAGACAGTAAACTAAAGAAGAATATAATTTCTAAAATAAATTTCACTCATTTCTATTGTTTTTTATTTTAGAAATACTATTAAATTTCGAAAACTTCATCGTCAATTGAATGCTGAACGTAAGACGAAACAACAATCTTCTGGGTATGACATGTTTCTCTTTTAATGTGTTCGTTAATTTGATGTGTGCTTGCCTTTTTAGAATCATGAATTCTGCATGTTTAACCGAGCTTTATAAAACAATGCTTGGTTTAGTGAATAGTTTATGTTTTCTACTTAATTGTATACATTGGTTCCCATATAAAATATTGTGGAGTGGAAAACTTCCATTATTTGTTGTTGGTTTCAACGGCACTTTGGCGACATTATGCAGTGGTATTCAATCAGCTATTTAAACACGAACTATCAATAGTAAACATTAATTTTTTCCCAATTTATCTAATTTGATATTATTGATAGATTTTTATGTGTATTTTTAATTTATAGTGATTTATTGATGATAAAGCAACGACTGTGATTTAATTTGGTGTCTTTCATTTATAAAAAATAAATAGTTTTACAAAATTGGTTTTTTTTGCTCATATAAATTTCTTTAACTGTTCGATTTTATGTCTGGTACATATCTTTGATTTTTTACCTGTTACTAGAGTATAGTCTGTATAAATATCACTCCTCGATGCCTCTTTCACTTAAAGAATAATGTTGAGGATGGAGTATCTGAAAAGTAATAGCCATTTTCTTGTGTCTATCATAATAAATGCGTTATGTTACTTATATAAAGTTTAAAGTATACTATGTTCGAGTAGCTGAGTATAGTTTTAATGATGTTTGCTTATTGTACGTCAATCAGATGTAAACTCAATCTGCAGGATATAAAGTTGTTATGCTATGTTTTTCATCATTTTTTATTAGCATGTTCAATACGAATTTGTTTATCTTTAATTAGCTTTCAGATTTGAAGATGTCAAAATTCAATTTTTTTAATACTCATCATCTGTTATAGACAAAAATGTACCTTCTCAATATTTCACATTGGGGCTTGGCCACATAACTCTGCTACCGCAGTGTAATCCTATTACGTTTTTTTCCATTTTGTTTCTCCTATAATTCTCGAATGAAGACACGTCCAGAGCTCTGCAACGTCTCATATCAAAGGGAAAAGTGTGCTGAATATTTCAAGACTTTCACACACTCTACACGGTCTATTGTTTAACTAGTTGTTTAACTACTACACAAACTTCGTAATATTTTTTAGAAAACCAAAAGTCTCTAACGATCAAAACCCACGCATACGTCTCAAAGACTATGACTATCGAGCAAAAAAAAAATAAATAAATAAATAAAAAGTGTCATAAAGTTAGATCCATTCCTCTGAATACCTTACGAATAATTCAGCTTAAGTTATATTCGTTTTATATGAAGGTCTCTGTCCAGATCTTGAGTTTACTTTAGAAAAATATTAATGTCTGGTATTTATTTGAAAATTTCAAGAAAAACTTCATGTTATGCTTGAAAAATGTCAGAGTTGAGAAAATTCATATCTGAAACATTTTTTAAGTTAGAAAAAATATTTATTCAAAACTGAATTGATTGATTTGTTTATTTACTTGCAGATAAAGCATGCAGTCGACCTCGACAACGGCAAATCCTGTTGTGAAACCTAAATTTCATTGGATATTTCCTGCTGAAAAATTCAATGATACTCCAAGTAGACGAGATAATATGAGCAGTGATGAAGAATTAAATCATCGACAACAAGCAGCAGTATTTATTTATGAATTAGGAACAAATTTGAAAGTGTACGTAGGATGTCATTGTGTTATCGAATTGAATTTTCTCATTAGAAAAATTTAATTTAATTTATTCTAGGCCACATTATTGTATTAATACAGCAGTTGTTTATATGCATCGATTTTATATGGTGCATTCATTTAAACAATTTACAAAACAGGTATACTAAACTAGAGACCAACTTCCGTGCGAAAATATTGGAAAGTTGACTGAGTGAAACGATGAACTGCCGAAATTAGAACATCCCCAGTAAAAGTCATAATGGTTTGACTTCTTTTTAGAAAGATAATGTTCAACACGAATTAGACATTCGGGAAGGGATCGCGAGACATGTAAGAAAACAAATCGAAAACATTTTTTCTGTAAAATTTCATATCCATATGTGAAATATGGTTTTTTTTTATTCAGTAGGAAATTTAAATTGTTTTAGCTAAATGAATTATGTATATTCTTGCTATATCAGCTAATTTATTATCATATCATACATTCTATGATAGCTTTCATCATATCAACCACTACTCTATATATTCACTATGAAGTGAATCATGTGACGATTAATTATCTTATAGGAAGAACGATAGTTCCAGAAAACATTTGCTCATTTTGCAGGACTCATAGAATAATTAAAAAAGTGAATATTCAAAAACTAACTTCAGATATGTTATCTACGACTCTTGTATTTTCAAATTATCTTTTCCTCAAATCTGTACTATCAGAGATAACGGAGAACGAGTTACTAACTCGAACGGCAAAAATGGTGTAGAAAGAAAAACTTTGCTAGGCAACGCTCGAAGCGGGAAAAAATAAGTCTCCTTTTTTTATTCAACATTCAAACAATAAGTCATCGTTTCATTCAGTCGACTTAAATATTTTTATGTTTTGACTTTTTCGGTCTTGTTCATATTTAAATTGAAAATTTTTATTTTTATTACACAATATCCTGTATCTATATTTTCACACTATCTATTTCTAGACCGTTAGTGCTGCTTGTTTATTCCTTGCTTGTAAAGTTGAAGAATTTCCGCGTACATTACGTGATTTAATTGAAAATACTGGAAAAGTGTTAAGAAAGAAGAAAGCAGAAGAAATGACACAAGAAGTAAATTTATTTTTAAACTCAATCTTATTTTAAAACTGATGTGTATTTTTGTGTCAACATTTAGATGATCGCACAGTACACAGATGATATTGTTAATCATGAAAATGTTCTCTTATCAACGTTAGGTTTGTATTTCTATCGAACAATTGTATTTCTATGGATGGCAATCTGATTATATATTTTTGTGTCACAGGTTTTTCTCTCATGGTTGATCAACCACATCCAATTATTATCAAAACAATACAAACATTATCTAGTAAGAGAATTTTAATAAATAATTGATCTATTTATTGTTAAAAGATGATATCTAGTTTTTAATTTTACATGTATTACACATACTCAACTATTTTGTTCTTGCGTTCGATTGAGAAATAGATAAAGAAAAAAACCGTGTATACTTGGGCTGCATACAACTCACAACTGAAAAAGGTCTTTTTGAGCCATTCACTTACATCTGTTTTCAAGTTTAGCGGGATATAGAGTGACGTCGTCTCAGTTCTCAGTTTCTCATAACACATTCTCAAGCAGATGACAATTTTACGTTAACTCCATCCGTGACTAGCCCAAAAGTTTCGAGTGTTGTTTCTGACTAGTTCGAGAAAAATAGGAACTACAGTCAGCGACGTATCCTGTACTAGGCCGAGGGTGAACCATGGCCCATCCCTTATGAATTTCGTTTTCTTTATTTCAGAGTAGAAAAACCCCCACTACACAAGAACTTTTTTTACTGTTTCTTTGACCAAAAAGGCTTGGCCCATTCCCTACTGAAATCCTGGATACGTCGTTGACTACAGTAGTTGTTGGCTAGTTCACTGTTGACTAGTCAGTTTTTGTTCAGAAATTGATCAGTCCTTTACTTGCATATGGATATGCCAAAGATTAGTCAAAAAAGACAACTAGTCAGTGACTGGAGTCATGTTTTACCAATTGGACGAGTTTGAATTTTTATAAATAGTCCGTTTATCCGTTTATTGCTTGCACGCCCAGCTCAGAAAATCAGATCAAGATCTTACAGGATCTTATAAGATCTTTATAAAATCTTACGGAAAATCATAGAATCGGATTCATCTTATAAAATCTTATAAAAATCATATAAGAATCTTACGAAATCCGATGAAATCTTACTATAAGATCTTACATAAAGAATCAGTTTCTATGTTTCTTACAGACTCTTACAAATTCTTATACGAATCTTACGAAATCAGACGGAATCGTACAAGAATCTTATAAGATGACCCAGCAAGATTTTTTGACCTAGGTGGGTTAAATCATCATTTCGATATTGGTATCTAGAAAATGTTTTTGTTCTTTATGTTTATAATTGCAGTAGCGAAGAGTAAAATAGAACTTTCATTTGTTGAGTAGAGGCTATCTCTCATGTACACGTTTGTCTTAGGGAAAAAAAGTGCAATATAGAATGTTTATTTTCTATTCTTATGTAAAAGAGTTTTATGTTTGTTTTGCTTTTAGGTCAAATTCAATCATTACCAGAAAAAAGTGAGTCTTGCGTTATTCTAAAACTAAAGTTTTTAAAGTGCATCCATTAACTAAAAGCAGTTTTATTTGACGCACGACTAAAAATAAATATAATGGAATTAATATTATTTTAGCTCCACGAGAACTAGCTCAAACAGCTTATTATTTAGCTACAAAAAGGTAACTAATCAACGAAACCAAAAGAAATGACACTGTTATTTAATGATGTTTAGTATATTACTGACATCATTTTGTGTCAAATATCCGCCAGATTTAATCGCGTGTTTTTGTATTCATCTTGCTGCTGCATGGGTAACAATACAGGTAGGGAACTAGACAGTGCTTTTGAATATAAATAATACTTTCAAAAATGAATGAAAATTTGTTCTTTTCAGATTCCGTCTAGTTCAGAAAATAAACAATGGTTTCAATTAGTTAATGAATTATTTACGGAAAAACAACTGAGTGGTAATTATTTGATAATTTATCTATTTAGTTTTGGTTCTAATTTGACGTATTCACTTGATTTAGATTTATCTGAGGAATTTTTACATATCTACGAAAAATGTCCAGAAAAAATAAAGAAAAAACTTGTCTATCAGAATGAAAGGGTAAAACCACATTAGAGAAAGAAAAATGAGCATAATATATACAAAAACATTATGTTTTGTAGCAACCACAGTCAGGTAGTACGTCATCGGGTGGTCAATCAACGTCTGGTCACAATCGTTTAATGATGTTTCCACCTCCTCAAGGACCAGGTAAAACGAATACAGTCTCTGACAAAAATTATTCATATAATAAGTGTCATTTATTTTGCAGGAAGGCCAATGGATATGGCAGACAGTGTTGTTCCACAACGTCCATTAAGTGCACAAACGTATAAGGAACATCGAAATAATATCAAAGCATCAACAGCACTTCCCTCTCAAACACAAGTGCAAATACCATCCTCTACTCAACCGGTAGCGTTAAAACAGGAAACAGTGAAGCAAGAGCATCCATCCGCCCCATCAAATCAACAACGACCCCCGTTCCAACAAACTCTAGTCAAAAGAGAATCATTACCAACCCAGCAACAAAATACTCATAATTCTAGTCGTCCACCAGCTCCCACGTTTTCATCATCATCACAACATTCAGCTACAATGCCCTCTGTGAAACAAGAACAAGTCAACGATCGTCGTTCATCACAGGCATCATTGATACCGCCCGATCAACGAAATCGACCCTCTCAGCCTCAACCATCATCTCGAGGTTTACCGCCACATATTCAACAGCAAACAAGACCATATCCACAACAATCAACAGTCACTCCAAATTTTCAACACCCACGTCAACTTGCACCCACTCATCCATATAACTACCCACAACAACAGCAACAACCACAACAACAACAGGGATATCCACCACCTGCTGCATCAAATCGGCATGAGTTACAGCAATATCAGCACAGACAAGATCCAAATAGGACAATGGCGCAACCGCAACAACAACGAACATCCTCGCGTCCTACACAACCTCCACCATCATCGATGGGCCAAGGTAATATTCAAAGTTATCATCGTCGGTTTGTGACATCCAGTATTCTTACCGGCTTTCAGCTGAATAAAACTTATCGAGTTTTAACGTCTCCTGCTTTACAGTCTTACATAACTGGCAAACAAACTGCCTCACAATTAACTGTTACTCTACGTACAATTAACTCTTTTCATCAATTATTTCCTCAAACTTCAGCTTTAACTACTTCTGCACGGCTAAATGATAAATCTATCAGATATTCTGTTCTTTATTTAGGAGGTGATCGTAAATCAACCATGAACGCACGTCCAACTTCTCAACAAAATTTTGATCATTCACGGCAAGAACAAGGTTTATCATCGTCAGGACCGTTTGCATCATCATCATCTCGTCAGCCGTACACAGGTATATCTCATCATCCGCAGCCATCTCAAACTATGGGGGTTCATCCAAGTGGTATGACCGTTCATCTAACTAATAGCAGTACACATTCAACGATGCCACCTTCTGTTCAACGTAATCCATATCCTCAACCAACAAAACGTCCATATGAAAATCCATCATCTTCATCATTTGATCATAATAATGCTGCTAAACGTTCAAGGCCAGCAACAAATGTGCCACCAAACTTGCACCACTAAATGTATATAGACAATTTTGTATACTCTTTCTTTGCTAAATATCTTTGTGATTGATGTTACTTTTCTCGAATCACAATAAACACAAAGTTTTTGTCAGACATTCTTTTATGTACGGATAATAACTATTTTCAATAAATGGTAGTTTCAACCTAAATGTATGAAGACTTTACCGAATCTAGATCAAACTGTACATTCAAAAACGGATAGCTGTTCATTGTATGGGATATAAACGAGATCATTAACTAATAATGCATCAAAATGACTTTTTCACAAAACAACTAATTTGGTACAATTTAAAATCGAGAATTTTGTTATTGATAAGCTCGCATCAATCGACGTTTAATCGTAATGATTTATGACGAATCGTGCACTCTATTCAGAGACGATCATAGCTATATTGATTACTGCTCACATTTTACGAATGTAAAACACAAAGAACTTCAGTTATTGTTGTATTTCCCAAAATAACACAATTTTTTCGTTGATTCGATGGTTCCAATAATGTTTTTTCATCAAAATTTAACAATCCAATGAAAGAATATTTTATACAACAGCCGATAGCTTTTCAACGAAAACGAAGCCATTGATGAAAAGAATTCGAAAAAACACTAAATCACCATATTTCTACTGACAATTAGAGAGCGTTTAAACACACAAATAGTGAAACATACAAATCGCATACTATGTACTAAGTGTTAATCTTTATGTTCCTGATGTGATAGAAATTTATCTTTTTGTTCACTTCGTAACGCAGAGTTTAATAAATACAATCTGATTTCCGTGTAATAAAACTTCGTTGTGCAACAGTAAAGTTAAAGTCACCAAAAGAGTCCCTGCAACTCGAAAGAAACGTTATGTTTTATATCAGAGACTTGAAAGTTATTGAGAAAAAGTTAGTCAAGTGGGTTCGAAGATAGTCAGTAAAAAGATCTACCAATATGACATTCAAAAAGATGTAAGGGAATGACGACTCTTATAAATGCACATGATGTGATAGAGAAAATTTTTTTCTGTCAGTTATACTCTTTTTCTCAGCAAATTCACGTATTTTTTGCGTTTTTACATGTTGCAGAACCTCCCGAAAATGTCGGTCAAAAAAAGACTGTTACAACTTCTAAAAAATCTTCGCCAAATTAACTTAGAGAGCTCATGTTCGTCTTAAAAAACGGAGGAATCACTTCACAATACAGGTTGGCATTAGGGGGAAAAGGCGGCTTCGGGAGCTTTCCGGAGCTTGAGATGCTTGGCATCGGATGCTCTCCGATGCTATGCGATGCTCTCTGATGCTAAGAAAGAAAAAGTCGCCTTTTCCTCCTTGGGTTGGCAAAACTAAATGTTTTTTGCAAAAGTTGCCTGATCAAAAAATACTAGTCAATAATCAAGATCGGGTGAATTTTAATTTTCTCATTAAAAAGATAGTTCGAACTTCGAAGATCAGACTATGTCATTCAATAAAGCTAAAGTGCAGCTTTAGGAGGACATCTGAGCCCTTCAGCGCTTAATTTGGTGGATATTTTTAGAAGATCGAACAGGCTGAATTACTAATGCTGCTCTTTCTTCTCCCGTTCAGTGGTTTTTCTTTTTTCTCTCTTTTTTTCAAATTTTGTGATGAAAATCAGATTTTAGCTGTCTAAGTAATTCATAAAAAGATCTGTTAACGAGCCGTCAACCGATTGTTAATGGTATAAAATGCCCAAGGAACGGTGCGTTAACAAGTCATCGAAGATAGAAGGAGGAAGTGGTACTCATTCCTGGATTTGATAGTGTTGAAAACTTAGAAACGATGCCAAAAATGGTACCAAGGATCAAAAAACGACAAAAACAATAAAAAAGTGGTGAAAACAATGTTTTTTCGATGATCAATCAAAAATAGGCACTTGATTAAACGGTAAGTAAAAAGTGTGTTAACGGGCAAAAGACAGTTTAGAAACGTTCTATAAAAGAGCCTTGAACTGACCGTTTTCTTATCGTATGGCGATCGTAAATGAGTTATATATGGCGTGGTTATATGACGTGAAAACCGCTTAAGGGGTCCCCCCTAAGAAATAATCTCCGACACCATACATCCGATCTTGAAGAAACTTCGCATAAATGTTTGACTTAATGAGTTACGGGAATGAAAAAATTTTTTTCTGAGTTCTGCCAGTTTTTTTGAACCAGCGTCCTACCGTTTGAATATTGATAACTAGCAGTTACTTACCAGTGCCAAAGAGATCGAAAACGTTCAACTCTCTTTGTCGAGAAAAACTATTTTCTAGAACTCTGATAGTCAGGACATGTTTGATAGTCAACACTTGAACATTTATGATAATCTTTGGCAAAGAGTTGACATAGATCTCGTGAGCTGGAATATCTTAACATTGGGTCTTTATAAGCGAAGGCTTGCCGTGTCTCTGGCCTTTTACGATTATGTTTCCCGATCGATCAACTATTGCAGTTGGCTAACTAAGTCAACTTTTAGAAAGCGATTCTGTGGTCCTCTAAATGAATAAATATAAATGTAACTATAAATACATTCGACTTTGAAACTTTTTTTAGGAATACAGATGAATATGTTTTAAAATACTGTTAAACAGCTTAAAACGAAGTTATCTCCTAAGGATTTAAAATATAATTTATCGATATCGTACCAGTTCAATTCGAACAATGATGTTGTTTTTTTGTAAAACAACTGTTTTTGAACACAGTTTTTCACCATTTCGTAGACCTCTGATTTCTAATGTTAAAATATCAGACCATGCTGAATTAGCTTGAAACGAATAAATATTAAATAATTGATTTTTCTTACACCTGCTTATGCTCATTTCATCACAGATCCGCACAATATATTTACTTCCATTGATAAAATCATTTATATAACCACTTCCTGGGTAAATTTTTTTTGCATATGAACTATGCACATAATAGGCATTTACCCATTCGAATCCTTCATGTTTATAAAATCTTTTGTGTTCTTCATCTGCTTTTGGAATATTGTCAAATGTAATGATTTTTGGTGTAACAAAATCTGATAAATAACAGAAAAAATTGTTATTCTACTGCGATTACAAGATTATAAATTTAATTCACAATAAGAACAATGAAAGGATCAAAGAAACCATCGCTTCCATCTGTCACCAACAAATAGAAGAGCATGCCGATTGTTCTACGAAAAGAACATAGTTTGTGTTATAAATAAAGCTTTTTTCAGGATATTTTTTGGAACTGAAGAGTTTTAGATTTTCATATGACAGATTTAACCAATACTCAGTAAAAGAGCCATGCAAATTATTACTGCTCAGAACCCTGACGGTGTGAGTATTCAAAAAAATATACTTGTAACAGCAATCAGAATAATTAACGTGTTTGAACGTTTTACCTTCTAAAGTTGTGATTTCAATTAAACTATTCCAGTCTATTGTATCTTGTTTTAGTTTTATTTTAATATCAGTCGGTTTCTGTTTGAGGTCATGCATTTATTTATTAATTTGTCTAGATTTGTTTTCAATCGCTGAATATCATTTTCAAAATAATTATCATTGTCTCGTCGTTCTTTTATTTCTTGTGTCAATCTGTTGAACTTGTTTCGCAGCTTTATTTTATTTTCATTCACTATTTCGATGATTGTTTCGCGAGCGTTAGCAGCAGTTGATTTCACTTTCTTGATCATTTCATTTTCCCATCGATTAATATCATCGATGTTAACGATTGGTGTTGATGTTGAGTTCGAATCAATTTCTTGATGAAGCATGTCACGAACACTAACAATATGTTGAAATTCATTGTCAAGGTTAAGACGATGTTCTTCCATATGCAAACGACAATATCTATCAAAACAGCCCTCACAGAGAAGAATGCCTGATTTTTTACAATCAACAATTTTACACTTTGGAGGATCGGCCGTTCGTAAGAAGAACCATGTTGCAAAAGCCATCAGATTGTCAGTTAGTTGTTTGAATCTTAAAAAGTTTATTTATTAGGGCGTAATCTAATAAAAAATATAAAGCTAATTAAAAGACTTCTAACAGATCTACAGGGTATCACACCTGACAACAGCAAATCTTTCAACTATATCTCTAAGAGACTTTATTTGTTAAGAATCAAATATTTCGACCTTTACGGCCATTGTCAATGATAGAAAAACAGTACACAAGAATGAAAGTAACAGAGCTATGGGTAGACACAGACAAGCATTTTATTTCTTACTTGACAGAACAAGACAAGAACTGGACTTGTGTTGTTCTTGTCTTGTAACTGGACACGTTCTTTTTTAAAAAATATACATGTCGTAAACAGTACCTAGACAACATCATAAAAAGATGGATGAACAAAAGTATTGACTAATGTGTGGTGAAATTAGTCTCTTATCACCTAATGTTTTCTGTTTTTCTTCGATTTTCGAAACCGTCTGGAAAGACGTATAAAGGCACGGATCGATCTGCTCCGCTCAAAACTGGGGCTTCAGCACGTATCATATCATCAAAGATTGTTTTATTAAAAGTTTATATCTATGTTGTTCAGTGAAAAGAATACGAAAATCATTTGATGCTACTACGGGTCCTGTGCTTTCATAATGTTTCATTATTGTGTACTGCTTTTCTATCATCGACAATAGTCATAAAGGTCGAAATATTTGATTCTTAACAAATACGTTAAAAAAGAATGAAATTCTATACAGCTGTATTATTAGTTATCAAACTAAAAAAGAAATTCAAAACTTTTATTGAATGACAAATTCAGTAACTGAAAAAAAAACATGAAGTGGGTACTTGCACCTACGTAACCCTATTATTAACTCATCAAAGCTAGCCGACGCGTATGAACTGGGCGCTAATCGCTCAATTAAGTGCGCACTGCATCGTCCGTTTGGAGCTAGCAAGTGGGCACCTGCTCGGCGCAGCTAGCTATTTGTCCCAAAAAATCTACTCTTAAACTGACGCTTGAACTATGTTATAGACCAGCTTACTCTTTTTTGCCTGGGAGTCTAAGACCTTGAAAAGTAAAATGTGATCTGAGGAAGAAAATAAACATTACCACGATGATCAGTGATGTCGATAACCTATAGTCCATCTTTCTTTGTAGTTCCTAAGGCAAAACTGTGAAGGATAGGTCGATCCTGGAAAACCTATGTAACTCCTCAGCCATGACGATCTGGTGATTCTAGCTGATGTCTCAGAATTCAAAATTCATTGTTTGGCCTAGGTACTTTGACGGACATTTTGCCTGGAATGACTTACCATAGTAAACCGGATCCGAAGCCTGAATTTTTTCTTACGAGGGAACTTTTTTAAGTGATACGCTCCGATTCGGTTCGTTCGCACATCATTCGATAGAGGGTAGTAGGGTAGTAAAAAACCTAAAATATTGGCGGCCCCTTTGGCTGCTTTCAAAAGTTATAGGAATTTTTCTATCATTCTCAGCCGAAATCGCGAGTCAGTTAAAAATTCATAACTCTAGCAAATGAACTTCTGCGGACCTGAAATTTACAGCATAAATAGCCCACAATGCCAGCTAAACAGCACCAAAATTTCAAATTGCTGAGACGTGTACTTCCCAAATTACGAGTTTACCTTTTTATCCGTTTAAACATAGGCTTTTCTGAGTTTTGCGAGTTTACTGTCGTTATCTTTGAATATCGATTAAAAAAAGATATGCGTATGGGATGTAAGCCGTTCATTACGTCAATGAACATCGTCTCCGCTCTTCCAGGTAAAGGTCTCTAACATTTCAAGAGTACTGGTTTAGCTGGCTCTTTAGCTGACATTGTGGGCTATTTATGCTGTAAATTTCAGGTCCGCAGAAGTTCATTTGCTAGAGTTATGAATTTTTAATTGACTCGTGATTTTGGCTGAGAATGATAGAAAAATTCCTATAACTTTTGAAAGCAGCCAAAGGGGCCGCTAATATTTTAGGCTTTTTACTACCCTACTACCCTCTATCGAATGATGTGCGAACGAACCGAATCGGAGCGTATCACTTAAAAAAGTTCCCTCGTTAGGTCTACTTCCCAAATTGTTCTCGGATGAATATTGAAAGCCGCAAGGTTCTAGTTCCCTTCGTCGAAAAGTTATTCAAAAAATATCGGAAGCCATTCTTTTCCTGAACGGATAGTAGTTGAATATTTAAGAGTATTGAAACATCGTTTTTTCTTGGAGACGAATATGTGCTTCATTCTAAGTTGATCTGGATCGATTTTAAAGATAGCAGAAGAAAACTGAAAGAAATTACAAAATATCGGTCAAAGTGGAGTTTCTAGAGATAAATGTGGATATCTCCTATGTTGGGAGCAAAAGACTTGTGAATTGTCTGACGACTAGTCTCATTCCATTGGGAGTATTCAAAGGATGGACCACCACGTCCTAGTCAAATCTTTCAGAAAAGGTTCAAGCGATTATGTGATTGTGACGTTAGCATATAGATTCTGGATGCCCCGCCGGCACTGTAGCCAAAAGCTAATTATATAACTCACATTTGTACGAGTTGAAAATGTTTGGCTAAGACGTTCAAAAGCATCGGTAACACCATCACGAAAAGAATAAATCCCCGTATGCGCATAAAGTGATGAATCCCTGCCAAACCCGTATACGCAGTTTGGTCAAAAAGATGAAGTTTGATTTTTCTTGATTTGAAGATTGGCCTATATACTTCAAGTGACGGGCTATCTAACGGCAAAAGAATTTTTATCCGAAGTCCTTTCCTCTCGGAAAAAAGTTAGTCGGAAAAATCCTTCTATTATTTTGTACCTTTTTGGAAAAGCCGCATTTTCTCGACTTAAATTTGGTGTCAGCATTAATCTGAGGCCATATTCGGAATCAGTGGAAGTTAGGCTTCCAATCAGCACAGGAAAAGTTTTTCTCGAGCCTCGTTCTTAAAAAAGATTTTGATCTTTTCTGGAAAAACGTGATTTTTCAAAAGCTTCACTCAATGCAATGAGATCGCTAAATTTTCCTAGGCTCCAAGAATCTTCATTTTTTGCGAGGATGAGCTCCATAACCACCTCTGTCTATGGTATCAACCCATAATGACTGGCTCCACCTGTCTGGATATTCTGACCCGCTCACGTTATAGAGAATTTCAAGGGCTATGCAATGGTATGCTTTTAAAATATATATATTTTTTTATTATGACAGAAAAAATTAAGAAAGGAGTATTTTAGAGTCGTTTTCTGCCCTCGAATGTTTGTTTTGTATGTCTTTGATGACTGATCCCACCAGTAAAGATATTCTGAGTAGCTCAGTTTGTAGAGAATTGTACGGGCTATCTAATGCTGTGTTTAGTTTGCCATTTCAGTGTAAGGTAGTTGAGGAAAATCTGTTGTACTCATCACATGGTGACTTTTTAACGGTGCTTATTGAGATGCTATTGTTCAAGAATTAACCGGGTTTTATCTAACAAAAGTATCTGATTTTACCGAAAACGGAATAGAGGCACTTTTTTACCACATATGGATCCATTTTTAGTCAAAAAAGAGAGTGGGCCGATTCATAACCTTATACGGCCCCCTCCTTTATCGTTCGCTTCGCCAAGAATAGGACCAGTTGACAGTTATTACAATATGCAGTCTGTATATCGGCTGAACGAACGATAAATTTGAGAAAACATCGAAGTTTTAAACGGCCATTATACAAATTAATCCCATTTTTCGTTGGCTAAGAGCAAAACTACTAAAGTATCACGCATTGTGAATCCATTTGTTGTTATAACTGGATCAAACGCCAATAGCGAATGAACCGCGATCGGGCCGCGACAATAGCGAATAAACCGAGCTCGCGACGTGGGTACCGTTCCTCGTTCGAGTCAGCCACTCGTTCTTAGTTATCTCTGATCGTACAGATTTCGGCAAAAGTTGGTTCGAAAGTAGAGAAGTCGGAGATGACACATCTGAAGCTATTTTTCGGATATTTGCCTTATCGTACATTTAGTGTCACAAAATAAGTATATTTTTGAGGCAACTATAGTTTCTGCTATGAGATAATTAATTGTCACGTGAGTCATTTCATAATGAATATATGCTATAGTAATGGAATAATGAAATCTATAGTATAGCAGAATATATGACACGATAATGAATCAACTGATATGGGAATATAGGAATTCCTCGTGAAAAGCAGTCAAACTGTTATGAGTTTTTTATGTTCTAATTCATCTGTTTACCGTTTCACTCAGTCGACTTTCCAGTCTTCCTGCAGGACAGTTGGTCTCTAGTTTGATTTTCCTTCCATGATCAAGAAGTCATCTTTATGGCACAGGTCACGGAAGTTTTCATACTTTTTGCTCCACAGGAGCAACGCTAACAAGCTTTTTTATATGGACAATTCGATTTGTGTACTTTGAACCTTTAAGTTCGCCCTTCTAACTGGGCATTCCGGCCATATGTAGTTTAAATATGCAATAAAAGGTAAAAAATGAATATTGACGATCGCCTATTGCATCATTAAAAAATAATACCAGTTACACGCGTTTGAGAACCGTTTCAATCGATAAAAATACCTTATAGGTTTTCTCTTTATTTCGTTGTTTCTGCCCACACATATGTTGATTACATTGTATATAAGTGTGTCCTATACAAGACGTTGGATACTAGTTCTTGTTATGGACATACACAAATTAGAAATGATAAATCTGTCTGATTTCAATATGATCAACAGTTCATTTGAAATATTCTTGAAAAATTATTCTTACTGATTGTTGCCATAGGTACTATACCGTTTGTACTGATACCGTTTCATTGTTTTTTATCAATTTTTAATTAATGCGAATTATTTTGTTTAGCATGTTTTTAGGTATAATATTTTTTTCGAACTAATAAAAAAAAAGCTGTTATTTATAATAATATAAGGATGACAAACGATAAGAAAAACGCGCCTGACCTATAACTTAATTTTCCTCTCTATCAAGGTGTTGAATACCTTCTACACTTTGTCAATTTTTTTTTGTTCTCGGACACTGATTTACATAGCGTAATTGAATGGTAATGATAAAACAAATACAAAAACAAATTTTTGACTTTTCATGCGTAGACTGTAACGAGGAGTTTAAAATGCATGCTTGTTGTGAGTACAATTTTGTACTAATAAACAGAAATTCAGAAAGCAATGCGTCACCACCATCATCATGTTACAAAAGATGTTCGTATGCATAATCCAAAAGCTGCTGGTGAACACCATTCGGTATCACCACCTGATAAACCGAGTCACAACCACCATCATCATGAACAACAGATGAAAGACATGACCATTTGTGATGGTTGTAATCGGCAGAATATTGATTCATTTTACTATCAATGTGAACACTGTCAAGACTATGAATTATGCTATAAATGTCGTAGTCGTAGTGTAACAACAAAATTTCATACAAATACTCATAGAATGATATTTTTATCAGATAAAATAATGCCATCAATTGATATTAACGAATTAGAATTCAAACGAGAATTGGGTCGTGGTGCCTTTGGTATTGCTTATAAAGCTTATTGGCCATCACGAAATCGTACGGTGGCATGTAAAGTAATTACAGTACCAGTTGATATTTTTACTAATGATAAAGAAAAAAGTTTTTTTAAAGAAATTTCTGCCTATTCACAAATATCCGGCCACTATATATTGAAAACATACGGTTATTCACAAAAAATATTAGAAAATGGTAATAGAGAGTATGTACTCGTCATGGAATATATGGATAAAGGCAGTTTAACATCGTTAATACATGAGAAAAAAGAAAAATTAACCTTTAGAAAAAAATTGTTGATAGCTTGTAATATTGCTAGTGGAATGCGCAAAATTCACGATCATCAAATGATACATCGTGATATTAGACCAGATAATATCTTAATTAAACAGGGTTACACTGCAAAAATTGGTGATATGGGTATTGCTCGAATAATGAGTCGATCTAAACAACACACAGTTATTGGATATGAACCATACATGCCATTGGAATTCTATACGGGTATTTATGATCAAAAACTAGATATATTTACATTTGGTTTAACATTGAATGAACTGTTTACCGAGATACTACATGATAAACATCCGAATAAACGAGTTATAATTACTAAACAGAGTCCAGTATTTTGGGACCTCATATCTAATTGTATTCATGATGATCCACAACGACGACCAACTGCGTTAGAAGTTGAAATAAAATTATACAAATTCAAAGATTCATTAACTGAAATGATCAAACGAACTAAAGATTATAATATATTCTCCCATGATAAGAAAAATCACTTTTTTGTGAACTACTATGAACAAAGACATTTATAAATAAATTCCGAAAATAATCATTTCTGATCTGCTAGACAATAATTACATTAAAAGAGTGCTAAAGTTGAAAACAAAGTATTATCATATGAAGAAATATCTAACAACCAGAAGACAGTACAATAAAAAATATAAATACCACCAGTCGAAAAAACTTACTATTGAATATGATGGTCGATCAACATATCTCTACACGCTGATATAACAAGTCTCCCAAAAACGTCCAGTACTTGTAGAGCCAGATCCAAAATGCGAAGAATCTTGTGTGTGTGTCCCTTTTTATCCTAAAGTACCCTACACAACTTTATCTTCCATTATAAATCTGTGAATTTCATCTGGTATATCTCGTTGGCATTTATACAAATAGATAAAAAAAATTGTTTTTACATCAGGGCAAATTTGCTATATTTCAATTTCTCTACGAATTTTAATTTCCCAATAGTCTGATATTTTGTTACTAAAGTGTATAGTGTATCATCATTAAGATTAGAAATAGATTCTTATCTCTCTTGTTTTGCTTTGCATAATATGTATAGAGAGAAGGATATTTTCTGATAAACAGAATTATTTTCAAAAATTTCTGTCTATTGTTGACACTTCGAGATCAATTTGTTTTTGACAATCACAGATAGAACTGAGCAAACTATATAAAACCACCAAACGATCGATCAGTTTCAGCATTTTCATTGATAATATATAGTATTGATTAAAGGTCCTCCGCAGAAATGGTGATTCTTAGTCAAAAAAATCGATTTTGAGATAAGCACATGGAAAGATAGCCTGAAGTATCTACTTTCAGAATCTGTATTGCTTTCGGTCCTAGAAGTGATTTTTCGTGGCTTTCGAGTAAGTTTTCTAGAAGCCTCAAAAAACAGGATCTTCGAATAATAGTTTTTTCCTGGATAATTATGCAATTAAATTTTTTTCTGAATGCGTAGATTTGTAGAGCAAACGTTTCTGATCAAAATAAGACGCATAACTCTGTGTGATCTTGCGTCAAAAAGTTACAAGCATTTTTCTACAAGTCCTAAAATGGACCAACCGATGCGCAGCGTTTTCTCTCAGAACACACTTTTTATGCAGACATGCTCAGTGTACGGCACTTTTTTCAATAATAGTTCATCGTAGAGAGATTTTCTTTGTTCTAATCGAACGGGTGACGAATTCTACGAGGGCTAATGGAAGCCGGTTTTTCAATTAGACCTAAGTTGTTTAGAAAATCAAGGATCTCTGTAAAACGCAAAAGGAGGTTGAAGGGGGTGTGTGTAAAGTTGTTGGATCTGTAGAAAACGAACAAAGGCTTGAAAGGCTTGAAAAATCGGCGTTGATCAGTTCATGTAGTTAGGTGTCTAGTTTAAAATAAAACAAACCCGAACTCTTCAGCTTGAAGTATATTAAAAAATCTTGGGAAAAACTTCGGAGTCCTTTCTGAATCTTGATCTCTGGAAAACTCCTAACTGGTAAGACTTGGAGACAAAATAAAATTTTAATTTCCATAACTCATTTGCCTAACATTTTTTGAAAGTTTCATCAAGATCAGATGTACAGTGTCTGAGATAATTTCTGGGGGGGGGACCCTTAAAAAAATCGAACGGAGAAACTGGTAAAAGAAAAAATAGAGGACAGAACCGGATTTTTTAATCGGCTATTTCCCAGAGAATACATACTATGCTTCGAATAGAGAACTGAAAAAATAAAAAAACTCTAGAAACCATTCAGACAGGTGATGAGAAAGTATTTTATCTAGATTATCCTATCTTCATAAATCCAGTTTCATGAATCACATTTATTGATTTTTTTTCCATGTAACTTCTGGATTAATAAATTCAACATCTAAGTTTCCTAAATTTTATGAAACTTGTTTAGAGAGACAAAGATACAATATATATTCTTATAAGAGATACGAATCCATATTTTTGTACACTGTATCTCTTTTAATGAATTAAGAAGTTTCTCTTTTGCGAAACGAATATTTTGACAGAAAATTACGTTTCTCAAAAGAGATATACTATATTTCATTTCTATATTCCAAATTAAATATGATGTAGAAGCAATCGAGATTGTCTTAAGCTGTAATTAGTACTTTAACTGGTTCAAAAATCCGCTGCCACTCCACTTGGCTTAATCTTGATGATAAAAGGATCGTATACAAGGCTCAGCACTGTACAGTTCCAATTCCATTGTTTCGAAATGTGTATAAATAACAGTACTCAAAGCTATGTTGTTTCACTCTTCAGAAAATTATTCTAGATTTTATACGAAAGCAAATTCAAAAAGGCACTCCTGCCATATTGTTCAAAGAAAGTCTTTTCCGACGTCAGCGTCAACGAAATACTAATTATCGCTTAAGATAATTTCGATTGCTTCTACCTATTTAGAATATAGAAATGAAATATAATATATCGCTTTTGAGAAACGCAATTTCTTGCCAAAATATTCGTTTCTCAAAAGAGATACATTGTGAAATATGGATTTGTATCTGTTATGAGATGCATCACAATTAGCTATATAAAGTATGTCTAAATGCTCCTTGTTTATTTTTAAAACGAATAAAATAACAGATAAAATTAGTTAAAAACACGAATCTTATGGTTCATCGTGCGTATAGTGTTCAAGTATAGGTGATAATGTTCGAATAAAATCGTTTAATTTTTGTGTATTTTGATGTATTGTCATAATATCTTGTTTTAATTCTTCTTTATATACTTGTAAACTACTGTATTGTTCTTTCTCATTTCTATCATGTTTATAAAGCTGTTTTATTTTTGAATGTAATTCACTATCAAACGATCCATATAATACTTGGGTATGTTTATTTGACTCTGAACCAATACGTAGAGCATTTTTCAATAAATCTTGAGCACGTTGAAGATTATTTGAAAATTGATCATCATAGTTTTCGTTATTTAATTCTTGTTTTAAATTGACACCTGATGGACTTGTTTGCATTAAATTTTGTTCATATGCTAACAATTTTTGATACATATTATCCACAATTTGAATACGTTGATTTGCTCGAGTATATAATTGATTATATGTTGAATTTAAAGCTGCTTGTAGCTCCGATGTTTGATGATGATTATCTACTATAGACGATAAAAGAGTATCCATTTTCTGTTGATTTCGTTTCATCAGTTGTTGTTCATTTTCGAATCGACCATTGATTAAATCATTTTCACGATTAAGAAAAGAAAGACGATCAGTTATAAATCTTTCGGATTCACGAAATGCTGATTCCAATACGTTTGAAAGCTAAAAAATATGAGAAAAATATACAAAAACACAAACTTAGAAAACGTACTTCGGTGATACGAACTCTGTGAAGGTTTGTACGCAAATACACGAGAATACTAGAAAGAGCGAAACTGTTTTCGAGAAAATATAACTCTTGTTATTTCAATGAAGGATGCAGACAATGTTAAAAATTATCGAAATAGAAAAGACATCGATGCCGTGGGGATCTATTTTCCTATGCAAAATGGTAATAAAAATTGGTGGCTAAAATGTTTGAGCTGAAAAATCAATAACTTATTAGTTACATTAGTCAAATCTGTTTTAAATTGTTCAGCTTGTTTTGCATACAAACAAGATTTCTCTTTTGCATCGAGCCATTTCTTTCTTGATTCTTCATTATCCATTATTTTGAGCGTGGTAAAGCTAATCTAAAAGTAGTCAAGTTAAAAATTTTAAGACGCTTGTTTTCATATTGCGTTTTTTGATCGAATAATCAAAACATTAGAGATATTTTTAGATCATTATGATACACTGACCAAATAATCAAAGAAGAACTGTGTATCTATACATGGAGCGATTAGTCTCTAACATTTTTTCTTTAGTAAAAATGCTAAAAAAAATGTACTAGAAGAATGATGGAAACTTTTGATTGAAACAAAACAATGATAGTTTCTCTTTGCTAAGTTGGGAGATTCCAAGGTGGATAGAACTCAAATACTGTCAATCCTCTGGATTTACTATTCTCTTTGAACCCAACCTTACTTAATGTTGAGTGTTTTTCAAAAACAAAACTTTAACTACAACTGTCTGTACTTTCTTGTAATTTTAGCGTTTACTTTCAAAAAGTGTTGTTCTTTCTTCTCACTATATACACTACATTGCACATAGAAAGCAACAAAGACGACGAGATGAAAATTCTAACACTACAGAAAAGTAAAAAGATCTTCTTATTCTTAGCGGCATATACAGATGAAGAAATAGAGAGTAAAGAATAATTGAAAGTGAATCGATACGTCCTATGATTCTGAACATGTACAATACATATGCTGATTCAATACAAAGTTTTAAAAGTCTTCCACTTACAGAAATTATAAAAATCTAAAATGCGTACGTAGATCACCATTAAATTGTCGTTTATTCCTAGCAGAATGATAAGAGACGCTTCACTAGTCTACCGAAGGAGAAAAAATGACAACTTATTGAGATTCATAGGATTTTCATAAACCTTTTTGGATGAGATGTATCTTTTTATCACTAAAATAGCTCTGAACGACTGACATATATGATAATTTGTAGATTTCCGCACTTGGTTATGGGTGAATGAGCTCGGGAGAAAGAGGTATTTGAGCTCGGTGTGTTTAATTGGCTTTAAAATGAGAGCAATGAGCTCGAAAAAAATAGTTCAAGAACAAAAGTGCTAGGTTACAATAGTTTTTTAATAATATTGAATCTTTTGTTAAAGCTAGTTTAACTTTCTTTCGATGACCTTTTCATCTTCTTAATCCAAGTGGCTGTGGAACTTTAGTGGATCTGAGATGAGTTGTAGAAACTTTATTTTCTTTTGTAAAAGATTTAATATCAATTTCAGAAGTAGAAGAGAAACATTCGTGCCAAGTTCGGCGAGACATTATGAAAGAACAGATTTACATGAGAACGTACTAATGGGACATGCATGCAGACTTATATAGTTATTTGAGCATAAAAAGCTTATCAATTTATACAAATTAAAGCAAAGACTTGACAATAGAAAATGTAAAAGTATGTTGTAGAAAATGTTCATCTAATTCCTCAGCCACTTGGAATAAGAAGATGAAAAGATCGTCGAAAGAAAGTTAAACTACAAAAGATTGAATATTAGTAAAAAACCTATTGTAACCTAGCACTTTTGTTCTTGAACTATTTTTTTCTTATCAAATATATTTTGCTACTGGCAAAGTCATTAATTAGTTTTCAAAAATTAAGTACCGAACCGAACGCAAATTTGAATAAAATAAGTTCATTATCAAAGTAAACAATAGCGTACGATAATAATTCATTAAATGTGATTTTCCATCTGAAGTTATTGTATCAATAGGTATTTTATTAATTTTGAAAATTTGTATAATACCGGATATAATATAATCCAGTACAATCGAGCAATCCATAAGACTTAGACACTAGCAAACTTGACGATATCGGCTTTGGGTGCTACTGGTAACGATTATTGTGAGATATTTTAAATTAGAAATCGTACGATATTATTTATTTTAGAACAAAAGATTTAGGATGTAGCTTTGACCAGATGATTTATATCAAGCACTCCAGCAATGTATGTACTCGTATTGCTACTTATCGAGTTTTGTAATTGATATGAGAATGAGAGTTTAATGAGTATCTGTACTTCCTGTGTATTTACTTGATGTCTTCATCGTGATACAACGACTACGAATAAAATATACATTTAGATAAGAAATCTAACTAATATCTCGAAGAGTTATTATTGTTTGAAGATTTGAGTATGATTGAGAAAAAATCATGTATTTTCGAGACTTCAATAGCTCACAGAACTTCATTCAACCAGCATCATATTTCGATTATAAATTATAGCTGACTTTCTTGAACATTTTTCATTAATGAATCGACTACATAAATGTTTATCATGGATATTGTGCTTCAAAACGTATGTTCTTCCATCAATGTTTGCAGCCGTAGAAAAGAAAATGTGCATTTCGGCTGGAACACATCTTTTCAATTGCTCTGTGCAACCTACATCTCTACATCTATCCCAGCTGAGATACACCATGTTCTCGAAGAAAAAATTGAATAAAACAAGTTACATAAAGTCTAGGCTTAAATGCTTTTAGCAATTCTATGCTCCCTCTTCATTCTAGTTAATTAGCAGGACTTGTGTTGTTGAGCGCAAGACTCATTCTCTCTTTTTTTGTGAGTAATATTATTTCTCCAAGGTCACTTTCTTGCTTCATTCACGTTGCGAACGCGGCCCTCGCTCCGCGATTGTGTTAAAATCGTGCAACTCGTGCAACGATCGCGATGAAGTCTTACTTTTCGAAAATTTTAATTCGCGATCGTGAATCGACAATAGCGCCTTTTTAGCGATCGCAGTGCAACTTCGCGATCCGAGCGCAATCACTATAAAAAAGATTATCATATCGCGCATTTTTCTCTTACAATCGTGACATGATACAGCATCGCGGCGCGTCTCCCGTGCAAATCCTATTCACCGTTTTGTTTACCCGCCTGGTATATAACCCTTGCTGATTTTTCAAAAATTTTCAAAATCTTATCACATCTTAATAATAGCTTACGACATGACTAATATAGTCTTGCGTAGTCGCGCGTACATTATTCGTCTGCGTTCACAGTAAAAGTAGCGTGGCTCATTTACTGATATTAGACGAAAAACGCGAATAAATAGTAACTATAGGAAAATATTTGAGTATGTGCGCGAAAACAAAATAGTCATCGCTAAAAATCGCGTATTATTTCATGAGTCTTACAGCGGACGCATTACGCGATCCTGCCGCGAATTTTTAAAAAGACTTGCGTCGCTACATGTGATAAGAAAGTGGCCTTAGGTCAGTTTGTTCAATAATGGCTTAGACTAAATTACATTTTTAATGAACTCACGAGGGAACCTCACCAACTGATACCCTCTGTTTAAGCTCATACTCTGCTCATAGGTAGGACTCATAGTGTAGATAAAAACTCTAAAAGGATTCATCCCCTTGACTCTTGAAGACCTGGTTTTCTGAAAAAACAGTTTTTCAGAAACTCTAAAAAACAACCAAAACCTTTTCTTAGTGAGACATGATTGTAGCTCGCACATTTCTGATTAAAATGAGACCTCTCCCAGCTCTACATGACCTTTCTTCGCAAACTTACAGAATTTACAAGGAAAGCCCTAAATTAATTTCTTCTTATTTCTGTATCTTTGAGCTGACAATAAACATTTAGGGCTTTTCTTGTAAATTCTATAAGTTTGCGAAGAAAGGTCATGTAGAGCTGGGAGATGTCTCATTTT